CCATCCCACACCCCCACCTCTCCATCGCCCCCCACCCCCCACCCCTGTGTATCCACCGAGCGGGGTTTGCACAGCAGGTCAGTGCACACGGAAGAAAGAACATTCTGAAATGAAGCTATTAAACCTCAGAGTAAATGACCACAGAACACTGAGCTCTTTTTCTAGACAATAAATTACAAGCTATTAAGAACACTGTTCCACGGCTATAGGGGCACGCCAAATGAATTATGAAGATATTATCTAGCTTTATTTTAATAGAAAAACATGGCTTTAGGCCCATCACACATAATATCTGATAGCATCTCATTGCAATTTTGGCACTGATTTGCTATTAAAACATCAGTTTAGCTTATTTGAATCTGCCAGGATACTGGTAATTTCTCTTTCAAAATTCTCTGATATTTTGCTACGATAAAAATAAAACAAACAAACAGAACCAAAACAAGAACAAAACCAGCTCTTAGTATTTTAGATGCTCCATTGAAGAACACACAGTATAAAGGGCCATGACTTATCTCAGAGGCTCAGCTCATCAGCTGGCCTGGTTGTACTGAGTTCCTGCGGGCTGACTGCAGTGTGGTCTCTGAAGCCACTTGATTACTGCTTCCCTTAAGTATCTCCAATTTGGTTTTAAAAAAGAGATTTGCTTTTATTTTTACTCATATGTATGTATGCATCTGCCTTGCTGGTGGAGCCCAGAGGACAGTGTCAGATCCCCTGGAGCTGGTGTTACAGGTGGTTGTGAGCCGCTCGAAGTACTGGGAACTGAACTCAGGTCTCTGCAAGAGCAGTAAGTGCTCTTACCTGCTGAGCCACCTCTCCAGCCCCTATATTTTATTTTAAACATTTTATTTGTGTGTACTTTGTGTGTGTGTGTGTGTGTGTGCGCGCGCGCGTGCGCGCACGCGATGCATGCCGTTACGTGTATGTGGAAGTCAGAGGACAACTTTCTGGTGTTGGTTGGTCAGGCTTGCATGACAAACAGTTTTACCTGCTGAGCCATCTCCCTGCCTAGTATCTATGATTTGCCTTAACTGCTTTTATAACCCATCTATATTGTGTCATTTGTGGCTACCTATAGCCAAAGGCAAGGCTAGGAGGGGCAAGCTTAACCCTTATTTTGCTTCAAGGTACCACCCTGACAGACCCCTAGGAAGGGAAGTGGTAAAGACGGGCACTGCCCACTCAGCTCCTTCCTCTCCCTTTACTTTTCTTGACAATGTCCTACATTAACTGGAAACCTGGGGCCTGTGAGCTGGTTTGGCTGCTGTGCTGATTTAGGGATTCGGTGAATATGTCAACTATCCTCTCAACAGGGAGCCCAGTGCCTTCGGTAACCATCATGTGGGGAGAGGGAGGGAATCTTGGATGATAGGTCTGTACTGCTATAGCAGTGTTGAAGTCCTCAAGATCCTGAGCCAAGAGATACCTTCTGGGGCAAATCAGGCAGAGTGGGAGTCACAGGGCCTCAAAGTCACATTGGTCCCTGCCACTTACTACATGTGAAGTCATTGATAGAACCTGAAAACACAGTTTAGTAGTATTTAGTAGTGGTCTCATCTGTTTTAGCCCTGCTGTCGACATTAAGGGAAAGTGAGAGGTACCCTTCCTAGTCCAGATACCTTTTTTAAATGCTTTTTTTATATGCTTTTTTAAAGTAAGACCCTTAATAACTTAAGATTTTGTGCCATTTGCGGAAATGTGAAAAAATGGCAAAATGTCACTTTTTTCCTTTCCTTTCTCTTGGTGTCAGGGACTGAATCCAGACCCCACACATGCTAAATATATGCTCTGCCTCCCAGCTCCACCCCCAGCTCCCGTGCCAGTCTTCATTGGTGGTGATATAGTTATTTCCTGATTTTAAGAAGTAAGGTCGATCCCAGAGCTTAGGCATTCTTATTTGTTCACTGACTAGTTAAATTTATTTGATCTAGATAAAGTTTTAATAAATTTCACGTTTATGGAATCCAGGTAATTTCAGATTGTCTTTAAAAATCCAGAGTGCAAAGTGACATTTTTATTGGTATATTGTTTGAAAATTTGTGACTTTTGGAATTTATGGTTTGTAGAAAACTTAGTGCTAATTTCACAGTTTATTATTAATAGTTATAAAAAGATAGATTTAACTCAGAAATCAAGGGAAGCAAATTAGGGGACATGTTTAGCTTTGTGAAGGTCAGTGTCTGAATCGTACGACTTTGCTTGTTTGGATTCAAGAAATCAAGGATTAAGAGCAGTGATTAGTACTATGCAGAGAGTGTGTGTCCCTCCCAGCCTCGCAAGACGTGTGTACGTGAAGGCAAGGGTTGTGTCTGTGTGAGCACAAGCTGTCCCTCTGGTGAGAAAATGCACAAGGCTGTGTTTTGAAAGACAATAGACATTTCTGTTGGTGAGCTTTTATCTTCACGTCCAGGATTTACTCATGTTTCACACGCACCTGTTTTGTTTTTATTTATTTTTGTTTTCTGCCTGTGTTGTTTTAAAGGTGGCAGTCCTCATCCCTTTCCGAAATCGCCACGAACATCTTCCAATTTTCTTCCTGCACCTGATCCCCATGCTCAAGAAACAGCGGCTAGAATTTGCTTTTTATGTCATTGAGCAGGTAAGGACAGTTTTCAAATGGTGAGTTCTCCTAAACTTGAGCTCTCAAATATGGTAGCTTTGAAGTGTTCAGCTAAGATTAATCATCCTTGATTTAGTGTTGAATGGAATCATATTTGGGATTGAACCTGTATTCTTTTGGAAATAATTGCAATTTGGTAAGTAATGATTATGATTGACTTTGGGATGATAGCCTTGAGATATATATTTCATCCCTTACTGGCCTGGAATATACTGTGTAGAACAGGCTGGCTTTGAACTCACAGAAATCTACTTCCTCCCTCTCCCTCTGAAGTGCAGGGCAGCCACTATACCTAGTCCTTTAAAACTTTTTTATTTATATTTTATGTGCATGAATGTTTTGCCTGCATGAATATAAGTGCACCATGTGCGTAGAGTGCTTCCAGAGGCCAGAAGAGGCATCGGATCCCCTGCAACTGCAGTTATGGGCAGTTGTTAACTGCCATTTGGATTCTGGGAGCCAAAGTCAGTCCTCTGCAAGTGCTGCCAGTGCTCTTAACCACTGAGCCATCTCTCCAGCTCCTCACCTTGGTATATTTTAATGACTGCTACCTATTGGGTTTCTAAGAAACTCTACAGCAGATGTTCATCCTGTGCATTTAATGAACTCTACAGCAGATGTTCATCCTGTGCATTTAGTGTCTGATTTGTAGTATTGTCCCATGTTATGCTTTTGTTAGGTTTATGGTTTTTGCTTGTTCTTGAACGTCTCTGTGAAGCTCCATTTAGTTGAGGGATCTCTTGTTTTGTGATACAGGCTTTTTGGGAGCAGTCTGTTCTGTGCAGCTGTTGGGTTCATAATCTTGGAGGCCATTAATGGTCTCTTCTAACTTATGTGACTCCCTTGGATTATGTGAATGACCTCAGATGCATTCACTGTGTTTAATTTTGAAAGAACATTTCTATTTCCGACTATGAATTTAAACACTTAGAGGAAAGGATGAGGGTTTTGTGTTGCTTTTTAATAGTGAAGCACTGACAGTTCTCCATAGAGAATTTCTTTGTCCTGTGGTGTGGTTGGCTGCTGGTTAGCCCTGAAAGTTAATATTGCATCAACCTTGTTAGGCGATCAGGGATGCCTGATCAAGCCAGGCAGCAATCCTTATGAAAAAAAGAATGGTTTGCAGTAAACATCTACTCTCTTTTCTCATAGGTTTTAATTTTCGGCCATCTTTCCTCTTGCGGAGCTCTGGCTGTCTGTGTTGTAGGCACACATACTTAATTTCCCTGCCTTGCTTAGGCCGATGTTAACGATGGAACACTATCCCTTTCATGATAGAGACCAGCTCAGTACGTAAATGTGCATCCAATGAGCGGACAGGTCCAAGAAAAAGTTAGAGAACCAAACCTGTGATGCCCAGGACCCTCCTGGTGGGAGCCTAGGGTTGTTTTAGAATGAGAGATAAACAGGAAGAGAGCAGAATTAAGGAATAAATATTGGCAAAGCAAAAAGAAGAAAGCGAGAAATCTCATTCTATTTGTTGTGAACAGATACTGTGCAAGCTGAATACATAAAAATTTCTTAACATCGTCTAGATAGAATTGAAATGACCCTGCCTTACTGCCATCTGTGTCTTTACCTAAAGGCTGTGATTTCAAGTGTAATGAATGAATTCTGTTATTATATTTATATTCTTTTTAAATGTGGATAAAGTGACGTTTCAGAAACCTAAAGTATGCCAACATGTGAAGCTGGGTCTCTATGCAGACTTAGGCCACTTTCGTTTTTCTAACCTCAGCTTTGGGCAGGACATCTTACATTAATGCATATTTACTGTCTTAGTTTCATTCGAATGTTTATTTTGGCTTGCAATTCCAGATTACAGTCAATCATGGCGGGGAAGTGGGGCAGCAGGAATGTAATACAACTGGTCATCTCACGTGCACGGTCAAGGGCAGAGGGTAATATATGAATGTGTGCTCGCTCGCTTGTGCTCAACTGAGTTTCTCCACTCACAGCTCAGGACAAGCAGGGAATGTGGCTGCTCACAAGGGCTGAGTCTTCCCATATCAATTACCTTAAAGCCTTTGCAGACAAGCCCACAGGCCAACCCAATGTAGACAGTAATCCCTCATGAAGACTTGTTTTTTCTCTGTCCATGTAGATTAGGAAGTTTCTGTTAAATATTTTCTCCGTATTTTAACTGGAGTGTCTTTTTATTGAGTTGAATTCTTTATGTATTCTAGTTGTAGGTCTTTTGTGAATCATATGCTTACCTTTAGTCTGTGGCTTGCCCTTTTCTAGGTAGTGTGGTTCCCCGCCCCGGCCAGTTCTCCATGCTAGAATTAAGGGCCTTTCACTCATTCTTTTAAGTACTCTACTCCTGAGCTACATCTCCAGCCTCTGGTAGTGTTTTTTTTTTTTTTAAGTAAAAGTTTTTAATTTTGATAAAGTCCCGTTTACTGTTTTTTCCCCTCGATCTCTGCTTTGCTTTCGAGAACTTATTCTCTAATATTTTCTTCTTCCTGAAGTTTTGTGGTGGTTTTAGTGCTTAGATTTAGGCTAATCACTTTGAGTTAACTTTTACATATGGTATGAAATAAAGGTGCAAGCGTTTTTTTGTTGTTGTTTTTGCCTGTGGTTATTTAGTTATCCCATCACTTTATCAAAAGGTGGCCATTTCCTCATTGACATCTTTGTTGGAAATGAGTTCCTACATACATGTTACATGCATGTAAATCTATTCCTGGCTTTTCTGTTCTATAAGTCTACTTGTCTGTTTCTGTAAAAAAAAAAAAAAAGAGGAACCCTATTAGGGTTTGCTTTCTTATTTTTCAGTAGAGTATACAACAAAATTATTAGACAAGGTGACCTAACTTGTGTTAGTATATGCTGGTATTTTTTTAGCATTCAGATTTTTACTCTGAAGATTGTTAGTTTTTCTTTTCTTGTGGTTTATTCTAGATCTATTTTAAACACACACACACACCAGCTTTTTACCTGTGCTTTCTCTCTATGAAAACATGGTTAATATGACCCTTCAAGTTTTGCTCCTGAGGCATACAATAGTATATGTAGCCTGTGTAGTTTTTAACATAGAAACTTACCTTTTTTACCTGATACAAGTCAGAGTGTTGTAGCTACTGTCGTGGCAGCCATGGTTGTAGATTTTGATGCTGATGTCAGCAACTACTAGTTTCCTTTTTGAAACTTCAGGTGCTCATCAAGCACACGAGGTGAGCTGTGGCTCTGCAGCTTTAAAGGCAAGCTCTCCCTGGAGTTTGAATGACATTGTGAATTGGTGAAGATGCCTTTACAAAACAACTCAGGTCTCTATTTTCGTTCTCAAACCCGTTAAGTCTGAATCTCAGCCTTGATCAGCACTAATTAAGGACCACAGATTTGAGTGCATGTGGCTTTGAACTAGTAACATCTCTACTGCATATGAAATAGGAGGGTCATTTTTTTCTGCTGGATGGGTGGCCAGAAGAGCAGAGTGACCGAAGAGACCCTCAGAGCTGAGTGTGGAGAGTGCTTGGATTTGCCTCTTCTTACTTCCGAACTCTGAAGGACAAAGTGAAAAGAAAAAGGTCCTTTAAGTTATTAATCCACAACGACAGTGAGATGGGAGCAGGTGATGGAGCTGGCAGCCTGTCAGAGCAGATGCTGTTAAGAACTGAGTGGCCTGATCGTTACAAGAAAGGAATTAAACCCCCGAGACTCTGTACCCTTGAAATAGCAGAGATAGGCTGAAGCATGGGGCTGTGTAAGTTCAGTCACAAAACAGCTCCCAAGTCCTAATCTTTGCCTGTACACCTAGTTGATTGCCCTTCGGGTCTATAAAACCGCCGGGCGTGGTGGTGCACACCTTTAGTCCTAGCACTCGGGAGGCAGAGGCAGGCAGATCTCTGTGAGTTCCAGGCCAGCTGTTGCTGTGATGAAATACTTGACAAAAAAGATATTTATTTTAGTTCACAAGACAAGGTCCATCCTCACAGGGAGTCAAGGTAGGAATCCTCTCACAAATACAGTCAGGGGCAGAGAAATGCATATAAACCTGCTGCTCAGCTTGCCTTCTTCACTTCACACAGTCCAAGACCCAAACCCAGTGAATGTGCCCACAGTGGGCTTCCCACATCAGTCGGTGCATTCCAAACACACCCTGCACAGACATGCCCACAGGCCAGCCTGATCTAGGCAGTCCCTCATTGTATGATAGCTTTACTCGTCAACCTGACACACCTGGGTAGAGGGATCCCCAACTGTGGAATTGTCTCCATTGGACTGGCCTGTGGCCCTGTCTGTGGGGCATTTTCTTGATTGTTGAGTGATGTTGGAGGGCCCAGCCCACTGTGGGTGGTGCCACCCTGAGCAGGCAGGCCTGTGTTGGATAAGAAAGCAGGCTGAGCAGGGGCCAAGGGAGTAAGCCAGTAAGCAGTATTCCTCCATGGCCTGTGCTCTAGCTCCTGCCTCCAGGTTCCTGCCCTCCAGGTTCCTACCTTGGGCTCCCTTAGTGGTGAACTGTGACCTGGGAGATATAAGACAAATAAACCCTTTCCTCCCCAAGTTGGTAGTGGTTAGAGTGTTTTGTCACAGCAGTTGAAGGCAAACTGGAACACTCATTGAGACTCCCTGGGTGATTCCAGATTGTGTCAAGGTCACATGTAAAACTAACCATCACATCAGGTAAGACCTCCTTTCTGTTCTGGAGGGAAAAGAGTAACTGTATGACGTGTAGTCTCATTCTAAAGCCAAGTGCTGGGTTCTCTGTAGAGACTGAGCTGTAAGTGAGACAGGGTGGGAACAAGAGCAGTCGAAGCTTCTCTGATTGTCCACGTAGGAGTCATCGATGACTTGGGCGGCCCTGGAAGTGCAGGACACCGTGAGCAGTGGTTGGGTTTGGGTGTGTTGTGTTTTAATTAGAGTGGGATTAGTTTGCTGATGAGTTGGTTTGCCTTGTGAGCAGTAGGGAGCAGCTGCGCATGAAGGCAGAACTCTGTCTTGATGATGGGCGAGCGCTGATGTTTCCCTGAGCTGCAGACACGAGCCTCTCAGAAGGCACTGGCTCTTTCGATGTTTTTGTTTGGTTTGGGGGTGTGGGTGTAGGCAGTTCTTGTATGCGAACATGAAGATTCTCTAAGTGTTTTAGTACTTTATTTCAAACATGGATAAGAAGCCCAGGAGCTCCAGATTTTAAAGAAAACCTCCACAATGGAGACGGATGGGGCAAAGCAAAGAGCAAGACAATGGAGGGACCAAAGGAAAGCCCCAAGACAGAGCCAACCCAGCTCAGCCCCCAGAGTGAGGGAGAAATAGTGAAGGGTAATCTGGGCATTGTAAAGAAAGAACAGTCGCGAATAGGACATTATTGAATGTGAAAACGTGGTTGGTAGCGGCTTTCAATAGAACTGAGAGGCAAAACACCTTGCAAATAGAACCACAATATAAGGAAGAGGCGGGATCCAAGAGTATCAATATTTCATAGGATGACCATGCTCCAAGAGGCCCGTGAGGCATGAGGGTGAATTGCCTGGGGAACAAACACTATAAAAGAGGCAGTCCCTGACTTCAGGCTAGGTCATCAGACACGTCACTGTGGTAGCCTTGCTGTTGTGGAGCTCATGCTTTGGGAAATACCAGCCGCTCTGTCCCTGGTACTAAGGCTGGCCTGTGGATCAGAAATTACTGACTGGGGGATGGAGAGATGACTCGGTGGTTAAGAGCACTGGCTGCTCTTGCAGAGGACCCAGGTTCAGTTCCCAGCACCCACATGACAGCTAACAGTTGTCTGTAACTCCAGTTCTAAGGGATTCAGTGCCTGTGGGAAGCGGGCGCGGTCGAGCCGGCCAAGATGGCGCCCTGGCTGGCGGCCAGGCCTTGTGACCCTCACTTGTTTGCTCCAACTCGCGCAAGCGCTGTAAGCTTGATCACGCGCAGCCTGCCTGACATGATACGTCACCGAGCATGATTCTATTGCGTGGCCCAATGATTTGCTGCTCTGCCTGCATGTTAGCCCCGTGCTCATGTCCTGATTGGCTCCGTGTGACGGTCTGATTGTGGGATGGATCTGATGAGGGTATATATTGTGGGATGACGAAGAATAAAGGAAGAGAATTGCTTGAACCTCACCTTGGCGTCCGTATTGTCCTTTCCTCGGCCCTGCTGGTTGGAGTCTTGGTTCGTGGCAAGTGCCTTCTTCTGATTTCCACAGGTATGCCACAACACAGGTGCACTTACATACATGCTGGTAGTAAAATAAAAATAATAAAATATTCCAAAAAAGAAATGATTTACTAATGTCATCTTGTCAGTCATGTGTGTGAGCCACTTTAGATGTGGATCCTCCTGCTCTGGTCAGGCCTCTGGTTAAGGCATTGAACAAGATTGTACAGAACTCATGAAGTTCTCTGATCTGTTCCCAGAAGAATGCCAGCTCTGCAGGTGCATGGTCAGTATCATACACGACTACTGTTGGCTTTTCAGAATTTCTGGTTACTCTTTGATCCACCCCAGGGCCTCACGATGCTTGTCAAGAGCTCTATCACCGAGTTACAGCTCAACCCATGACTTTTCTTAAATCCCTAAATTTTGCTGTGATTTATTATATACATTATTATATTACTATTACACTCACTCATCAGAGTTCTGGAAAAACTACAGCAGAAAAAAATGTTTGAGAATAATGGAAGGAAAGTGCCAAAGGAAAAATATAAGAAAAAATCTCCAGGGGCTGGAGAGATGGCTCAGCGGTTAAGAGCATAGACTGCTCTTGCAGAGGACCTGTGTTCAATTCCCAGCACCCACGTGGCAGCTGCTAACTGTCCATAACTCCAGTTCCAGGGCATCAGACACCCTTTTCTGACCTCGTAGGCACTGCATGACACAGGTGCACTTACGCACATGCAGGCAATACACTCATACACATAATATAATAAATAAAAATTTTAAAAAGAGAACAATTTCCAGAAGTGAAAATTTGGGTCTTTGAAGGTAAGAAAGAGACCCCACCCCACAAGGCACACGTGAATAAAATATACATCTATTATGAAGCATAATAATTTGAAAGTTTAGAATAAAAATGAAAAAAGATACTTTAAAAAAGACCATTGGGAAGATGACACGAATCAGAAGTGTATGAACTATCCTGCCAGAGCAGGGAGTAGGAAGCTTGTGGAGCCTTTCAGATTCTAGAGAAGGGCACTTCACCCCAGAACCTCCTACCAAGAGTGTCACCCAAAGGTAGATGGTGGCTTTTCAGTCATTAATTGATGAAACACATGCGTGGCGCACGCACACACGCACGCACGCATACCCCCATCCATGGACTCTTTCTTCACAACCTGCTGAAACATGTACCTCAGGAAATTTGGTGAACCAGATAAAGACATGGGTGTCCCAGGGCTGGATGCAGAAGCCAGGATGATAGTGCAGGGCTGGGCAGTGAGGACAGTGGGAGCCGAGCTTGGGAGACGAAGGAACTGAGCAGTGATTTGATTTTTTTTCTATTACATCAATTATTAAAGGTATGGGTTATATCTGCTGGCCTTTCTAGTTATATAAAAAGCTAGTTAAAACCTTTGACAGAGAAAACAATTCACTCAGCACTGAAGAAATATTTACATAATGCTAATAATGTATACTCTATTCATTTAACCAAAAAGTATGACATAGCCATACTGAGAGGGGAGGGGAGGGCAGTGGTGTGGTGGTCTAACTCCTCAGCCTCCAGAGTCAGGTGTCAGTAGGAAATGTGTAGTTAACAAAGCAAGAAATACCAGAGCTCTTTGCCTTAATGTATGGACCCAAAAATCCAGGGAAAAATAGGCAAAAGAGTTGAAGTGGATTAGTGTCGACTGATGAAGATTGGTTAGACATGGAGTTCTTTTTATTAGTATTAGATAGGTTAGACATGGAGTTCTTTTTATTAGTATTAGATAGGTTAGATATGGGGTTCTTTTTATTAGTATTAGATAGGCTAGACATGGAGTTCTTTTTATTAGTATTAGATAGGTTAGACATGGGGTTCTTTTTATTAGTATTCAGTCCACATTTAATAGAACAAATTTTGAAACCTTAGAAGAAAATCATTTGTCCAAACTGACATTGATGTACCAACAATAATGTTACAATTCACCTCCTTTATCTTCTATTTCACTGGTGGGGAAAGAAAAGGTCTGTAAAAAGAATGTGATTTCTGTGACCTAAGGGCAGTGCCCACCTGTGGCTCACACCTGTGTCTTCTCTCCTGAGGCGGCGCTCTGAGGCTGACTGCTGCACCTTCTTTTACTCTCATCCAAATCCTTTTTCTTGTATCTTGGGAATGATTTTGTGAAATGTGCTAAGGCACTGGTAAATGCTTCAGAATTTTCTTTAGATGTGGAAGAAAACTTTCCCATTGCCAGTACATTTTAAAATTATTATTTCATGTGTATGCGTGTATTGCCTGCATGTATGTAAGTGCACCAGTGTCGTGCAATGCCCGTGGAGGACAGAAGAGGCTGTCGGATCCCCTGGAACTGGAGGTACATACAGTTGTTAGCTGCCATGTGGGTCCTGGGATTCAAACCTGGGTCCTCTGTAAGAACAGCCAGTGTTCTTAACTGCTGAGCCATCTCTCCAGCCCCTTGCCAGTACATTTTGATATATTATCACTATAAATAAAAGGGAAATGATTGCAATACAAGAAGTTAGGTTTTGTGTCATAAATTCCTATATTTTGTCAATTAAAATGCTTTGTCGCTGGATGTGGTGGCGCACACCTTTAATCCCAGCACTTGGAGGCAGAGGCAGGCGGATCTCTGTGAGTTCAAGGCCAGCCTGGTCCACATAGTGAGTTCTAGGACAGCTGGGGCTACAGGGAGACCCTGTCTCAAAAAGACCAAAAAAAAAAAAAATGTTTTTGTCTTAGCATAAGCAGGGATAGAAAGAAAGGGGAACTGTTGTCTGTGCACTTCAATGTGTTTTCCCTGGTAACGGAAGATGGTGGGAATAGGAAGCTGGGTTTGTGCTGTTGCCTCTGAAATGCTCTTGGTCAGTATTAGAAACATCAATGCTTCAAAACACATCAGTTCTTCAGAGAGGTCCCCCAGCTTTGTTATATAGAAAAAGGTTAGAGCTTTTTACCTCTAATACCTCTAATTCCCATGTTAGGGTTCAAACCCAGGACCTTGAACAACTAGGCAAGTGCTCTTATAATGAGTTACACCCCCCGCTCCTGTCTTAATTTTTAAGATTTATTTTTATTATATGCTTCTCTGGGGCTGGAGTTATAGGTGGTTGTGAGCTCCCTGACACATGTACTGGGAACTGAACTCAGGTTCTCTACAAGAGCATACAGAAAGCAATATATAGCATACACTATTTTTTAGTTATCCTGTTTTAATGTGAAGTAAAGCAGAAATACAAGTTAGCTAACGACAGCTATCTAGTTTTCTTCATCACACAAATATAAAACAACGTCATAAGTAAATTTAGACAGTATGCAGTCATGTGCCACATAGTTGTGTCATCAGTCAGAGACACAGTACATGTACCACAGTGCTCCCTTAAGGTTGTGTCACCTCGTGATGTGGCAGTCTTAGTCTGTGTTTGTACCTCTATATTTGTGCAATGTAGATCACACAATGACACCTTCCTCAGAATGTATGCCCCATTGCTAAATATGATGGCTGACTGTATTTAAAAATCCTGATACATGCTTATGAGTTATTTATCTCACTGTCAAGCTATAATTACTATTTGACCATGATGCAACAAACCATAAAGGCATAAGAAAATGTCAGATGACAAGACTGAATAAAGCTTTGCTTTTCTTTGCACTTGTGAAGACTGGCACACAACCGTTTAATCGTGCGATGCTCTTCAATGTGGGCTTCAAAGAGGCCATGAAAGACAGTGTCTGGGACTGCGTGATCTTCCATGATGTGGATCATCTGCCTGAAAATGACCGGAACTATTATGGATGTGGAGAGATGCCTCGTCACTTCGCAGCGAAGCTAGACAAGTACATGTACATGTAAGTAGAGTGTGCTGTTCCTGGGCTGTATAGCTTGTTTGTGCAATAGCAGATGCGTGCTGGCCTCCATCTGAGATTGCTAGGTGCCTGAAGAGAATCAGCCTTCACTCCAGCCTGTCCTGGGGACCCAGGACAAGGACTGACTCATCCATTTGCAATTGAGCAGAGGTTTGAGTGTAGTGTGGTGTGAAAGAACTTGCGTTTATAGTCAGAAACATGTAGGTGTAAATCTTGGTTCTGACACTTACAAGGCTGGGTTGGCCACACATACCTTTCAAGGTTGCTTCTTTTGGCCAGACAATGAACCCCCTCTATAGGGCTGCTCTCTGGGGTTCTGGTCCTGGTGTGTGGTCTGTGCTGGCTCCCCTTGCCTCCCTCCCCTTAGAGATAGTTCAGGATCCAGATGACCTTCCTCTGTGGCTCTTCTTCCTGAGCTATGCATTCTTCACCTGCTTTTTCATTTTCTCACTAGAGATGTCTTTGTGTTTGTATGTCTGTGTTTGTGGGGAGGGGCACACATGTACATGCATGCATCTGGAGGCCAGAGGTTGTTGCCAGGTGTCTTCTTCAATCACTGTCCATCTTATTTCTGAGATGGTTTCTCACTGAACCTGGAGTTCACCAACTGGCTAGACTGACTGGCCAGCAAGTCCCAGGGGACCCCTTTCTCCCTTACCAGGCACTGGGATTATTGGCACACATCTCTTTGCCTGCAGGGCAAGCATTTACCTTTTGAGCTATTGCCCAAGATTCTTGTGTCTTTCTTATGCAAGTGATTATTAACCCAAATAACCAGTTTTAAGTAGTCAAGTGTCAAATTTATTTATTTTATTATTTTTATGTGTATGAGTGTATTGCTTGCATGGAGGTAGGTGCACCCATGTCATGCAATTTCCTCAGAGGTCAGAAGAGGGCGTCAGATCCCCTGGAACTGGAGTTCCGGACGGTTGTTAGCCACCATGTGGATGCTGGGAATCAAACCTGGGTCCTCTGCAAGAGCAGTCGGTGCTCTTAACCACTGAGGAGCCATCTCTCCAGCCCCAAACAAGTATCAAATTTAAATGATCAGCATTGGGAAGGCTTTGAGGAAAACATAAGTGATCAACTCACACAGGAGCTTCAGTTACAGACTTGACTATGGATGACAACAACTAGTTATAACTAAATCCCTTTGTTTTCCTTTTCTGATTACATTTTATTGGCATATATTCATTGTACATACTGACAGGTTTCATGAGGACGTTTTCATACAGGTATATCCTATACTTAAAGGCATGTGGCCCTGACCCCCTCCTCCTGCTGCCATCCCAGTCCTTTCCCACAGTCTTGCTTCCACCTTCAGATCCTGTACAGATGCACCTCTGTCACCCTGTGCATTCTGGGATCCACAAATGAGAGAAAACGTATTTGTCTGAGTCTGACTTTTTTTCTTTTTCTGAGACAGAGTCTCCCTGTAGCCCTAGCTGGCCTGGAACTTGCTATGTACACCAGGCCCACCTCAGTCTCACAGAGATCCACTTGTCTCTGCCTGCGGAGTGCTGGGACCAAAGGGGTGCACCCCTGCACCCAGCTCAGTCTATTTTATGAGCTCAGTATTTTAATTTCTAGTTCTATTTTCTTGTAATTTTTTTTCCTTATGGCTAAGTACAACCCATTGGTGTGTGTGTGTGTGTGTGTGTGTGTGTGTGTGTGTGTGTGTAGCAAATAATGGCAAATGCTGGTGAAGATGTGCTGGAAAGAGAATCCTTATACACTGCTGGTGGGAATGTAAATTAGTCCGTGTGGAGTTTCTTCTAAAATATCAATTCCTAGTCAACAAACCCACTGGTATCAGTTGGCGTAGTCAAGGACTAGATGGTCTTGTGTGTTCTAGTTCAATTGCTAGTATAATACAATACTCTGACAGCTTAGGGAGGAAGGATTTATTTTGGCTCACAGTTCAAGAGGTAAAGTATATGGCCAAAGGAAAATATGGCAGCAGGCACAGGAAGCTGGCTGATCACATTTCTTCCCCACACAGGAAGCAGAAAGAGAGAATAGGAAGTGGGACAGGCTATAAACCCTCAAAGCCCGCCCCCCAGTGATGCACTTCCTCCAGCAAGGCTCCACCTCCCAAAGATTCCACAACCTTTCCAAACTGCTCCCAGTTGCAAACTGAGTGTTCAATTCATAAGCACATGGCAGACGTTTCTCATTTAAATTATCACATCATGGGAGCTTGTTGGAAATTATCAAGTGATGGAGGAAGGTGGGAGCAGGTCAAGGCACGGGTGGGTCAGTGCGCAGTCACAGGATGGAGGCTGCCCAAGCATTCCGCCCACAGTGATGTCTGCACCCTGACTGCTCATACTTGTCCAGGTGCAGAGTGTCTCCTACTTTGAACAGTCAAAGATGAACACTACAGTTTTCCCCAATTCTTGTTATTTAGTTGGCTCACTATATCTTCATTTTATCTTGTCCTTTTCTATTGTGTCTGTGATGCAGGGGATGTTTCCACTTACATAGAACAGCAAGTAGACCTGGCATGCTTGCGGACTTAGGCATTCCAGCAAGCACACAAATGTTTTCTCACGTCTGTGTACTGAGCAACCCCAGCTCTCCCTCCAAAAGCATTGGCATGAGAATAATCCAAGCAGTGGGACTGGAGAGATGGCTGAGCGGTTAAAGAGCACAACCGCTCTTGCAGGGGACCTGGGTTCGGTTCCCAGGACCCACATGACAACTAACAACTGTCGGTAACTCTAGTTCCAGGGGATCTGGTGCCCTCTTCAGACCTCTGCAGGCATTGCACAACACAGGACTACACAACACAGGTACACTTACATACATGCAGGTAATACACTCATACATATAAAATAAAACAATAAGTAAAATATTTTAAAAGAGCAATCCAAACAGTGTGGAAAATGCAGAATTGCCCAGGACACTTGGGGGCCCTAAGGACCGCTGGTGCCATGAGTTCCCAAGGGGTGAGCCTGTGAGGTTTCCTGTGATATTCAATACCACTGTTACTATCTTAGGGTGTCTTTGGCCAAGGATTGGAGAGACTGCAGCCCTAGGACTACATCTGAGGGCTGCTTTCTCTCAGGTCCTTTGTGCCATGCAGAATTCCAGCAGGCAGACCCCTTGTTCCCCACAGCAAGTCAGTCAGCTCCTTCAGACCATTACATCTCCACTTCCCTTTTTCACAGACAACTCTGCAGTAGTCCTAAGTAGATCCCTCCCCCCAATCTTGATTTTTGGATGCTGTGCCTGCTCATGGTGCCTCTGCTGCGGCAGCTGGGTGGCTCGATGGCTATGGAGTGTGACACACTACTCCCCCAAAACAGCTTGGTTGATTCAGGGCTGCAGTCTAAGAACACTAAGAAAAAAACGGTTCACCCTTCAACTAGCAACTTAGATTATTAAAAGTGTACTTTAGAAATATTGCATAGGGGGCTGGAGAGATGGCTCAGTGGTTAAGAACACTGACTGCTCTTAGAGTGGACCCAGGTTCGATGCCCAGCACCCACATGGCAGCTAACAACTGTCCGTAACTCCGGTTCCAGGGGATCCAACCTCCGTGGGCATTGCACGACATGGGTGCACTTACACACATGCAGGCAATACATTCATATATACAAAATAAAAATAATAAAATATTTAAAAAATATTGCGTAATGGGCAGGTGAGATGGCTCAGCTGGTAAAGACTCTTGCCACCAAGCCTGATGAGTTGAGTTCTGTCCTCTGGACCCACATGGTCGATGAAGAGAGCTGACTTCCCAAAGTTTCCCTCTGACATTGTCTCCCTGCCCCAGGCACATATACACAACTAAATAAAAAAATCAAAAAAAGTTTCATCATTTTATTCCTTGGAAACTAGGTTAGGGAAGGGTGAGGAAAATAGAATCTAAATTTTAAAGTATGCTTATTTTTCTAAATATTAGTGCATTAAAATATGTATATTTTGGGCTGTGAGATGGCTCAGTGGGTAAGAGCACTTCTGGCAAATATGATGACCTAAGGTCAATCCCTGGAAGCCACATGGTGGAAGGAGAGAGCTGACTCACAAGTTGTCCTCTCCCTCCACATGCGCACAGTGGCATGTATGTGTGTGCTCACACATACAGATATGCACACACATGCTAAATGAAAAGTTTTTTATAGTATATATTTAAATATCTGTATTTTTTTAGTTTGATCCAAATAGGTGTAAAGCAGTTTTAGGAATAGGTAGCTAGTAACTTCAAAATTAAATGCTGGCATTGCCCTCTCTAATTTATATCTACTCTGTTCTATATAATAATGTATTTGTAAAGTCAGTATTTTTTAAAAAATAATTTATTGAAAATATAATATATGCATATAAGGTGTTTTGATCAAATCCGTGCCCACTCCCTCCCCTCCAACTCCTCCCATATCTCCCCATCACTTTTTTCTGATAACTTCATGTACTCTTTCTTCTTCTTTGATTTATTTATTTTTATGGGGCTTTTGGCTACTCTAACATCCCCCCCCGAAGAGGTAACCCTAAAATTTTTTAAGGATTAGATAAGAGTTCCTAAATACATTTGACAATTTTGGCCTTTGGAACGGAGTATGTTGCTAAGAGGCCCAAGGACATTTTGACTTTTAGCCAAGAAACTGGCTACTTTTTTGGGGGGTGTTTTTACCCTAACTTCCTAGCCAATTCCTACCTCCAATTCTTATCACACCATCCTCTGAAGAGGTTACCCAACTTGCAGATAGGGAATCAGGATACAGATCGCTCTGGCTTCTTCCATGCTTGACAGGGACATAGGGTGAGGTAATTGGAGTACCCTTTCAATCTAAAAGACTCCCAAATTGCATAACTCTTATCTGTAGGGGGAAAAGAAAGTCCTTGATTTGTGAATAGGAGATGTGAAGGAAAAGTAAACGCAAGAGTAATTAGCATTACAAGTTCTAGACAGAGAACTAGAAAAAAGTCAGAACAGGGAAAATTTCAAATGTTCATATGAGAGTCCATTGAGATTTCTT